TCACCATCGAAATAAACAAACCTCTGGGTCTGCTGCAGTACAGAGGTAATCTACAGTCTAGTCCTGGGTCTACAGTCTAGTCCTGGGTCTACGGCCTCAGTCCTGGGTCTACAGCCTCAGTCCTGGGTCTACGGCCTCAGTCCTGGGTCTACGGCCTCAGTCCTGGGTCTACGGCCTCAGTCCTGGGTCTACGGCCTCAGTCCTGGGTCTACAGCCTCAGTCCTGGGTCTACAGCCTCAGTCCCGGATCTACGGCCTCAGAGACCCTTCTCTCTGCTCCTCAGGTCCCTCTGGTCGCTCCTCTCTCCTCCTGGTCTCTAACCTCCTTCTCCTCTGCTCCTCAGATCCCTCTGGTCGCTCCTCTCTCCTCCTGGTCTCTAACCTCCTTCTCCTCTGCTCCTCAGATCCCTCTGGTCGCTCCTCTCTCCTCCTGGTCTCTAACCTCCTTCTCCTCTGCTCCTCAGATCCCTCTGGTCGCTCCTCTCTCCTCCTGGTCTCTAACCTCCTTCTCCTCTGCTCCTCAGATCCCTCTGGTCGCTCCTCTCTCCTCCTGGTCTCTAACCTCCTTCTCCTCTGCTCCTCAGGTCCCTCCGGTCGCTCCTCTCTGCCCTCCTGGTCTCTCACCTCCTTCTCCTCTGCTCCTCAGATCCCTCTGGTCGCTCCTCTGTCCTCCTGGTCTCTAACCTCCTTCTCCTCTGCTCCTCAGATCCCTCTGGTCGCTCCTCTCTCCTCCTGGTCTCTAACCTCCTTCTCCTCTGCTCCTCAGATCCCTCTGGTCGCTCCTCTGTCCTCCTGGTCTCTAACCTCCTTCTCCTCTGCTCCTCAGGTCCCTCCGGTCGCTCCTCTCTGCCCTCTTGGTCTCTCACCTCCTTCTCCTCTGCTCCTCAGATCCCTCTGGTCGCTCCTCTGTCCTCCTGGTCTCTAACCTCCTTCTCCTCTGCTCCTCAGATCCCTCTGGTCGCTCCTCTCTCCACCTGGTCTCTAACCTCCTTCTCCTCTGCTCCTCAGATCCCTCTGGTCGCTCCTCTGTCCTCCTGGTCTCTAACCTCCTTCTCCTCTGCTCCTCAGGTCCCTCCGGTCGCTCCTCTCTGCCCTCCTCTCCTTGCTACTCCTCTGAGGACCTCCTCAGTTGTCAGCTCACTCGCTCGGTGCAGTGCGCTCATCAGAAACCCATCACGGTCCTGAAGGCGGCGGCAGGACGAGTGGTGACGGGGAGTCAGGACCACACTGTCCGGGTCAGATTTATATACTGTATATATATCTCTGGTCTCTCTCTCTGGTCTCTCTCTCTGGTCTCTCTCGCTGGTCTCTCTCGCTGGTCTCTCTCTCTGGTCTCTCTCGCTGGTCTCTCTGGTCTCTCTCTCTGGTCTCTCTCTCTGGTCTCTCTCTGGTCTCCCTCTCTGGTCTCTCTCTCTGGTCTCTCTCTCTGGTCTCTCTCGCTGGTCTCTCTCGCTGGTCTCTCTCGCTGGTCTCTCTCGCTGGTCTCTCTCTCTGGTCTCTCTCGCTGGTCTCTCTGGTCTCTCTCTCTGGTCTCCCTCTCTGGTCTCTCTCTCTGGTCTCTCTCTCTGGTCTCTCTCTCTGGTCTCTCTCTCTGGTCTCTCTCTGGTCTCTGATGTCTCCTTCTGTTCTTCAGGTTTATCGTCTTGAAGACTCGTGTTGTCTGTTCACGCTCCAGGGTCACTCTGGAGGAATCACTGCTGTTTACATCGACCAAGTGAGTCCCGCAGAGCAGCTCTAATGCCGTTTTTCCACAGTCCTAGTACGGTACGTTTTGACTCTACACGGCGCGCCATGGCCCAGTTCGCGTGCTTTTCCATCAAAAATAGTACCCCCAGTATGTCCTCAGCGTTGTCAGACCACGTCATTTACGTGTGACGCGTAACTAGCAGTGTTGTGCCAGTTCACAACTTTTCTGAACTAGTTCAAGTTCAGTTCATACATGCTCAAAGTGAACAGTTCACGTTCAAAGTTCACAATTTTAATTCTGAACTAGTTCAAAGTTCAGTTAATTTTCCTTTTTTTGTGAAATAGTCAAATAAATACTTTTTTTCACACTACGAGCTATAATATATATATATATATATATATATATATATATTCCTGTAGAGGAGAGCCTTTTGACTACAAAACAGACAAGATTTACATGGTTTTCAATGGGAGCCAAACAGAGTTGCTCCATCTCTGCTCATAAACTGCAAACAGTAATGCGCTGCAGTGCGTGTGTCTATACTTTATGTCAAATGTAAACGGTGTAAACTTTGTCGCTAACTCACCCTGTGTTTTCATCACGACTCGGGCACATGTGAAAAGCACCAGCTCACAGCGCCGCACCTCAACACAGAGTGGGGGTGCGTTCACAGACGGTGGAAACCGTAGGAATTTTTAGATTTCGACGGAAAAAGTGTGAGAATACAGGAGGGAGGAACTTTCTCTCGTTGCGTTTCAAAAGAGAAAACAGATTCCAACGTTCATAGTGATGTCTGCCGTTCATGACACAAAATGAACTAATTCACGTTCAAGTTCTTTTTAAAAAAATGTGTTGCATTCAGTTCAACGTCAACAAAAAAATGAGCGTGTTCAATGAACTCGTTCACGCACAACACTGGTAACTAGTACTGGTGCGGTGCATGGATTTATTATAATACCAGAGCAAGTGTTTAATAGAAAGTTCAGCACAGCACGAGTAGTTTTTGAAAATGCTTTTGTCTTAAAAGAATGACCCAGACACTGTGAAGTCAATGGTGCTGACTGCTCTGTACAATCTGAATGGACCTGTAGCAACAGCAGCCTGTGTAGCAGAGGAGGAGGGCTGCATGTCCGAGGATACTGCTAGGCTATAGCTAATGCTAGCGCTAGCTCGAGACTCAGCTCACTCACTAACCCTGGATTCCAAAGCTACTACAATACTACACTTAACACATCTATCACTGCCCTCAGAGGAGGATCCAGGGTTTAGACTCGTCATATGGCAACTCGAGCAGTAAAGGACCGAGGGAGAGATAGCGGCAGCCATAGGGGTAGCGAGTTAGCGGCTAGGCTAGGCTAAGCTAGGCTAGGCTAGTCCGGACTCGGGTCCAGACTACAGTAGACTCCGAGACCAGACAAACAATCGATACCCAAACCTCAGCTACAATAATAATAAATGAGTGAAACACAGTCTTGATACAATCACAGATTTATTGAAAACAAAAGTAAAGTGCAAAACCAACCGTTTACAAAGTCAAAAGTACGTATGTGTGAGACCAGGTCCAGACCAGGTCCAGACCAGGTCCAGACTAGGTCCAGACCAGGTCCCTGGTCTGGACCTCAACTGTGTTGAGCCTCGAGCTGCCTTTGAATTCTTTCTTTGGCCTGAAGAGAGGAACGTGTGGACCTCTTCCACCGACCAGAACCAGGACTTTTGGGGCTTTCTGTGCAATTCCATTTCTCTGGAGTGAGGAGGACGTAATGTAGCCGAAGCAGAGCCGAGCAGAGCAGCCGGTTTTAAAGATGGCGGTTGAGTTGTTTTTCCCAAAGGGTCAGATGTCGCTTCCAGTGACGACACTCGTTGACCAATCAGTGTAAGGCAGTGGGCCGACGTGACGTCATGGCACGGGTACTATGGGGATGGAACCACAGCTGAGGCAGTATGGAAAAGTACTCAAATCTCCCATACCATCCACTAGTGGAAACGCAAAATAACCGTGCTGAAGCGTACTGTACCGTACTGATACTGTGGAAGAGCGGCATTAGTCCCTCGCTCTGAGTCCCCCTCACAGAGCAGCTCTGAGTCCCCCCCCGCCCTGGGTCTGAGCTGAATCAAAGGTTTCATGTGCTCCTAATGGTGCTGAAAATACTGTAGTATTTATCTATATAGCACATGTCCCAGACTTTACAGTTCAGCTCTCTTCACTCACTGCCTCTGACCGTCACTCAGACCCTGGAGCACCAGGAGGAAACTTCCAATTCAATTCAATATATCTGTGTGTAGCCCTAAATCACAACAGGAGGACTTTACAGAGTTGTGGATTCACCAGCACAGATCAGAGAATCAAACACAGTCATTGGTTCAGAGGGCAGCGTCCTGAACAGACACAGGGAGAACATGCAAACTGCACTGAAAGGCCTGGAGGTGGAATTGTGGGAGTTGTGTGGGTCCCTCTGACCTCTGACCTCTGCTGCAGACCATGGTCCTGGCCAGCGGGGGGCAGGATGGAGCCATCTGTCTCTGGGACGTCCTGACAGGAAGTCGTGTCAGCCATGTTTACGGTCACCGCGGCGACGTGACCTCGCTGGTCTGTACCTCCACCTGCGTCATCAGCTCCGGCCTCGACGACCTCATCTGCATCTGGGACCGGAGTACTGGGGTCAAGATCTACTCTATACAGCAGGTACTCGAGTACTGGGGTCAAGATCTACTCTATACAGCAGGTACTCCAGTACTTCTACTTTATACAACAGGTATACTCGACTACTGGGGTCAAGATCTACTCTATACAGCAGGTACTCGAGTACTGGGGTCAAGATCTACTCTATACAGCAGGTACTCGAGTACTTCTACTTTATACAACAGGTATACTCGAGTACTCGGGTCAAGATCTACTCTATACAGCAGGTACTCGAGTACTGGGGTCAAGAACTACTCTATACAGCAGGTACTCGAGTACTTCTACTTTATACAACAGGTACTTGAGTACTGGGGTCAAGATCTACTCTAGAGAGACCAGAGTACGAGACGAATAAAACTTAAATTCTAACTGACCTCCGTCTGTCCAGGAGGTGGGTTGCGGCGCGAGCCTGGGTGTGATCTCCGAGTCTCTGCTGGTGACGGGAGGCCAGGGCTGCGTCTCCTTCTGGGACCTGAGTTACGGGGACCTCCTGCAGACCGTGTACCTCGGCCCCAGCGCGGACGGTCAGGGCGTGCGGCAGCTGCTGGTGCTCGACAACGCCGCCATCGTCTGCGACTTCGGCAGCGAGCTCAGCCTGGTCTACGTGCCGTCCGTCCTGGAGAAGCTGGACTGAGCGGTTGCCGGGCGGTTGCCGGGCGGTTGCCGGGCGGAGAGGCTCTGCTTTCTGATTGGACAGATGTTTGAACACTCGTGGGCAGCTTTTTAAGTGGACAGAAATATGGCACAAAATGGCTGATCTTTGAACTGTGAAAAAAAACGCTGAAAATGACGTTTTTTTGGACTGCAAAAAAATACACAAATATGTGAATAAGTGCTTTTAATACTGTTCTATGATATCCCTCTTCTCACACATTCCTCACCACAGTCTGCTGCTACGATCTGCTAGCCACGCAAAGGGAGCGTTAGCTAGCTGCTCACACTCTCTGCTAGGATTCGTTAGCCACGTTAGCGCTACATAAAAGTAGCTAGCTGCTTTGCTCCATATATTTAACTATCCTCCATAAACTACCTTAGAATGGAAGCACTTATTGATGTATTTGTTGTAACTGTCGAGCAGACGACGAGGACAGAGCTGTTTCTGAGACTGAGGAGTGTCTGTCCCTGCTGAGGCCCTTCCTGAGGCTCCTGCTGAGGCCCTTCCTGAGGCTCCTGCTGAGGCCCTGCCTGAGGCCCTTCCTGAGGCCCCTGCTGTGTGTGCGGGTATTTATTTGGGGATTTTTTTTTATTTTTTTATGCGTGGGTTATCAGGGTCTGTCCCTGAGGTCCAAGGTCTGAGGTCCAAGGTCTGAGGTCCAAGGTCTGAGGTCCAAGGTCTGAGGTCCAAGGTCTGAGGTCCGAGGTCCGAGGTCTGAGGTCCGAGGTCCGAGGTCTGAGGTCTGAGGTCCGAGGTCCAAGGTCCAAGGTCTGAGGTCCGAGGTCCAAGGTCTGAGGTCCAAGGTCTGAGGTCCAAGGTCTGAGGTCTGAGGTCCAAGGTCTGAGGTCCAAGGTCTGAGGTCCAAAGTCTGAGGTCCAAGGTCTCCAAGGTCTGAGGTCCATGGTCTGAGGTCTGTCCCAGAGGAGGACGTTTGAAAACTATAAATCCAGAACATGAGCCCAAACAACCGACCAATCAGGAGCCTTCTGACGCCTGATTCGGCTTTAGCAGCTCCTGATTGGCTCTTGGTCACATGGTGAGAGTTAGCTCTAATCAATACTGCGGGTGAATAGCTGAAACACTGGTGATGTCACACTCGGTCCACTCCTGGTATAATATCTATGGTTCTAAATATTCACAGGTTTAAACACGATCCAAGTTATTGATCCATATTTACTCACATTTCTTGGTTAGTCTACTATAGCCCTGTTTGCACCAGCTCGGCTCGGGTCGTGTTTCCATTATCTGGTACTGTATCCTAGCAACCAACCCTCAACAAACCAGCTCGGCCTGGATAGAACCGGGACTAAGAGGGACTAAAGAAGGACCTGGTACTGGTTCCACAGGAGCAGAGGAGCAGTAGGGCTGGTGGAAACGGGGCTCTTGATGCACGTTTATGGCCTTTTTAGTTGTGAAACGACCTCTGACCTGGGACTGAGAGGACTCTAGGTTCTGTGAGAAGAGAAGCACAGAGCTGTACAGAGTCTGCTCTGTGGCCACCTCCTGTTTTTCTAATGTGAGAGTATTGTGTGTACGATAACTGTCGTCCGAGGCTAAGTTCTTCCCTGTTTTTTAGAGATTACTTTGTTCATTCCTAACGGTTCCATTTCAACTGTGATGTCGTTGTTTTAGGAAAATCTGGTGTTTTGTCTTTTCCTTTTTTTACGGAGATGGTCACATGGTTTGGAGTCAGATGCATTTGTCCAGAGCAGGTCCAGACATCGGCAACTTCACAGACCTGTGTGTGTTTGGTTGGTTCAGTCGCTAGAACACATGCAGACGTGGCTTTCAAAGTGGTAGTGGGGGTTGAGCTAATTTGCTAATTAGCTAACATGCTAACTAGCGGTGGGACCATGGGTGGGACTGGGATTTGATAGTATTGCAATATTTGGGCCACAATTTAATATTATTGCAAGTTTTAACATAGTATTGGGATTAGATTCTGCAGTCTCTCTTTGGTCTCTCTCTGGTCGCTCTCTGGTCTCTCTCTGGTCTCTAGTCTGTCGCTGGTCTCTCTCTACCTCGCATACAAGAAACTCAGTAAAAATGTGTGAAATAGATTATTTATTTAAATATCTTTAATACTTTCTTACTCAACAGAATCGATTTTCCGGATGCTAATGCTAACCGTATCTTTTCACCCACTACCACCTGTTTACTCGTGTGTTAGCCACATTAGCTTAAGTTCCATTAACTGTTTACTAACGGCGCTAAAAGAAATGCTAGCTACAGGGTTTGTACCAGAATGAGTTGTGTAGCTTTGTTTACTAGCGCCTCAAGTTAACGAGTCAGAGATGAGCTGTAACTTTACGCTACTCTCTGTATCTGTGTATTTATGGTTCATTTATGGTTCATTTATGGTTCATTAGCAGTTTCTTTGAAGACTGAAATGACTGAATGTATTTAGCTCAATACAGTTTTTAAATAAGTGCTGCACTGTTAATCCATCGTGATGCTAATGCTAATGCTAACAGGCTAAATCAATGGCTTGTATTCAGTAGTGAGAGAAACTGCTTTGGCGCAGACACACGTTTAGGTTTCTATGGCAACGATACAGGAATAAAATGTGTGGATTTTCTAATTCAGACTTTTCTGGTAGAATGACGCTGGTTTGATTCTCTGATCTGTTGTTGGTGAATCCACTCCTCAGTCGACTGCTGCTGTGGTTTAGGGAGATAAATAAATACATGTAATAATAGTTTTACTCTTTTAAAACCACAGCAGCTCAACAAGAACTACCCCTGATGCTAGGCTAGGTATTACTTAACTGCTCGGTAACTTCCCTCCCACGATATGGGGGTGGCAGCATCTTACTGTGGGGCTGCTTTTCTTCTGCAGGGACAAGGAATTTGTAAAAAAAGAAACAAGCTGGAACAAAATGTGTAAAATCTTGCCGTGTCTGAGTGGTTAGCGCTGATGTCGCACAGCGAGAAGGTCCTCTGTTGTGTTCCACTTTCAGACTCGGTGCGGGATTTGCATGTTCTCCCTGTGTCTATAATGTGTTCTAAGACTTTAAACCAGCGTCATTCTACCAGAAGTCCACAAGAAGGAACTGATTGTGGCTGAAGCGCCGTATCATGTAATAAAACATTTATAATATAAATAGTTCCAGATGTAAGTGTTTTGTGCAATGATCAATTTTAACACTATTTTTTTAGGCAGAAATCTGAGATTGTTACATGAGACCTGGGGGCGGGGCCTCGTCTCTCCCTAATTTGCAGCAATTTTAATTTATTAACTTTTGTAACTTCTACACACAGTGAAAATGTGTTTTTTGGATTATTTTTAAAGCGCTAATGGTCAATGTGGGCGGGGCTTCGTGTGGGTGGGGTTTCCTGTGGGCGGGGCTTCATGTCGGGGTTATTTGAATGTCACAAAACCATCTTTTAAAGTGAGTTTCTGCCGTGCCTCAGACACATTCTGCTTCGTGGGAAATAAATCTTCCAGATTTGAAAGAGCTGCCGTTTCCCGTTAACCTCGTCTTTTGTAACAACAAAGTATTTGTACTAATTTTCAAATAAAGAGGCTTTGATACAATCTGTTTCATGAGTTCTTTTTACGTGTTGAATTTTTAATATTTATGATTAGACAGAAATACTCTGTACCGTTTCCAAGGATATTCCTAAAATAAAGTCTGTATAATACTGTTTATGAACGGTCTGTAGTGACTGCACTGCCCACATGTGTCCTCCAGGGGTCACTATAAGATATTAATGTACCAAAGAAGTTAAATAACAAGTGTTTACATTTCCAAAGTGTTTTTGTTTCTGTGTGACACGTGCGTGTTTTTGTGAATGAATTTGGGGCGTGTCCGAGGTTCGATCAGGGACTGTTGGGTTTTGATCAAACCTCGCTCTAATAAAATACATTTTTGTGACGCTTTGAACTCTGATAAACACTGACGAACCACAAAAGTCAGATCCTCGAGCTGCACCAAAACTATCTCCCTCAAGACATAGATCCATGTCTCTCGAGCCTGAGCCTGAGGGAGGAGCCTGAGGCTGAGGGAGGAGCCTGAGCCTGAGTGTGAGCCTGAGGCCCAGTCCCAATACTCACACTGCACCCTACACACCTCTTCGAAGTGTGCATTTGTTCGAAGTGCACACCAGGGTTGGAGTGCGCAGGTTACAAGTGTGCAAAAAAGGCGGAATTGGGACAGTGCACACTGAGTGCAGGTTACGTCATCGACTCGTCAAGAGATGGTCATTTTCAGACCTAAACTTTATAAAAAATTAAAGGTAACTTTGTCTGACCCTTTGGGAAACAAAATGAATTGCTTCACACACGTTAAAATACATGTATATTAGTTGTTTTTAATTAGAGATAGCTGTATAATTTTAAGTTAAATGTGGGTAACTAACTATCTGGTCAGTTTTTATACATTCTAAGATTATGTTACTAAGTGTAAAGTTTAAATTGAATGTTATATGAATGCTTGCTTTAAAAAGTTATTAAATTGTTAAAACACAATGTCCGTAATTCTTCATCAAACGTTTATGCTTCTTTCCAAGTAACATAGCAAAACTTATTTACACACATACTGCATATATATTTCAAAATTTATATTTAAATGCATTTTCCCGACGTTTTGGTGTGTACCGCAAAGAATTATGGGCAATATCCTTCGCCAGAGTGCGCATAGATGCAGGCTACGGCGAAGTGTGGATCAGGGGCGCGAAGGGGGCGGGGCCAAAGACCTCCCTGGAGAATTGGGACACCCTACGCACTCGCACCCTTTATCGGGAACGCGCAAATGAGGGGCGCGAGGGTGGAAGTGCGAGTATTGGGACGGGGCCCGAGTCTGAGCCTGAGTCCCAATACCCACACTGCACCCTACACACCTCTATGAAGTGTGCATGTGTTTGAAGTGCACATATGGTTGGAGTGCACACATGGTTGGAGTGCGCACGTTACAAGTGTGCACAAAAGGCAGAATTGGGACAGTGCACAGTGAGTGCAGGTGACGTCATTGACTCGTC